TCCAGGCAGGTTCTGTCCCAATCTACCGGGCACTCCCTCTGGGTTCGAGATCCGTCAGCTGCCGGGTCACGAGGGGAGGTGCGGGGACAGCGAAAGCAGACTCTCCCTGAGTCGTTGTTTACGAAGAGACAGCCCTCTCTGGGGAGATGCAGGATTCAATGATACAGCTTCAGACACAGCTTCTGATGCAACTCCGATTTATTAAGGGGAAACCAGGATATTTATACTGTGGGGGGAGTGGCAAAAGCCTTAATGGATAGGTGCTTTTAGGATGCCCCATTTACATGTGGTGGTGGGCTTCCACCAGGCTGCCAGACATTGCCTGATTATCACACAGGAAAACCTGGCAGTTTCTTGTGCCAGAGGCCATGTTTTTGGTAGGGCATCTGTGGCAGCCACTTCAAAAGGTGAGTCAGGAAGAGAGTAGGAAGGCGCCCTGCTGATAAAAGGAGTCTCTGCATAAACGCCAAGCCCCTTGGGCTATCCGGGCATGGAGAGACTTCGACTTAACACAGCAGGGGTCCCCAAAAAATTCTCTCTTTGGACCATATGGTCCTAGGGATGGAACTCAGGTGGTCAGACTTGGAAGCCACTGCCTTTACATGCCAAGCCATCAAGCTAGCCCCTTTTGATTTTCTAAATTTGTTTACAAAGTAGCAGGTTTTCTTAAGGAATTTTCTTACATAATTTTGGTTGATCTTCCTCCCACCCTCACTCCTCATCTCCCTTTTCTCCATCCCCACTTATCCTTTTTCCCACCAAGCATTTCCCTTTCCATTTTCCTATCATGTTTTCTCTTACCTTATCCACTACTTTCCTTTAATGTCTCTTTTTTCATGCTCTTAAGGGCCCCTTTCTGATTTTCTGGCTTCCACACATACTCATGCCTGCATAAATACACATATATAAAAATTAGACATGAGGATATACATATGAGAGAGAATATGTGGTATTTATCTTTCTGAGTCTTGCCTAATACTATATTTCCCAATTTCATTAATTTTCTTGAAATTTTCATAATTTCATTTTTCTTTATGGTCAAGTAAATTTCCATCCTGCATATATATCAAATTTTCATTATCTGTTCATCTGTTGATTGTCATCTATGTTGATTTCATTTCCTTGGTCTTGTAAACAGAGTGGCAGTAAACATAGGTGAACAAAAGTATCTTTGTATTAGGATACAGGGTCCTTTGGGTATATAACCAGAAGTGATATGGTAGTTCTACTTTTAACTTTTTGAGAAACCTCCATACTGATGCACATAGTAGTTTTATCAGATTTCATTCCCCCCAACAGTGTATAAGAATGACTTTTCTTACATTCTCAACATCTGGTGTCAATGTCTGCTGTCATTTGTTTTCTTGATGATAGCCATTCTGCCTCAAAGCAGTTTTAATTTGCATTTCTCTGATGGATGATTAAGGATGTTGAACACTTTCAAAGTGTTTACTGGCTATTTATATTTCTTCTTTTAGAAACTCTCTGTACAGTTCATCAGCCAATATTTTGACCAGTTTATTAATTTTCTTCTTAACTTTTTGAGCTCTTTGTATATTCCAGATATTAATCCTCTGTCAGATGTATGTATACCTGACAAAGTTTTCTCCTATTCTGTAGTCTGTCTCTTCACTTGATTAATTGTTTTATAATATCTAGTAATCTGTTAAACAGCAGTGGTAATAGGGTCAGTCTTATTATTACTTGGTTTTAAAGTTAGTTTGCTAAAATTTTGTTGTTGGCTTACCAAGCTAATAAAGGTCCTTTTATTCCTTGGAAGGCTGTAAGTTTTAAAATAACTATTGAAATTTATCAAAGACTTCTAAAAACATTTTGCCATTAGTAATTTGATTTTCTACTTTAACTTATTAATTATATTGATAAATTTGTTGTTAAACCATTCTTACAATTCTTTTATTTTGTATATTTTTAATTGAATTTTTGTGAATTTCATATAAAACATCTTAATCATCTTTATTCCCCCTCCCCCATCTGGACTGCCTCCCATAGCCTACCCCACCAGATTTCATGCATTCTGTTGTATATGTTAAGGCCTATTGAGTAAAGTCAGTGTACCTAGATGTCCCTCAGAGCAAGTTCATCCACTGGGATCTAGTCAGTCTATCTAGAGTTTCTCCCTTAAAGACCAACTCCCCCTCACCCAGCAGTAATTAGCTGGCAATAGTTCTTTTGCTAAGATTGTGGTCTTCTGTCCATTTCCTCGGTTCTATGCTGGATTTCTGTCTGCTTAAGTTTGCTTGTGTCTTATGCATGCTGACACCATTGCTGCAGGTTTATATAAGCAGAGTCCTAGGAACCTGTAAGGCTGTTTCCATATGGTCATGCACCTCCTCCCCTGGCTCTTACAATCTTTTCACCCCCTCTTCCACAATGATCCCTGAGTCTTGGGTGGGTAAAGTTTAATATAGGAGTCCTGTTCAGGGACCCACACTCCGCAGACTCTTATTCTCTACCCTTTGGCCATTTGTGGCCTTTTGTGTTCATTGCCCTCTATTGCATGAGGGAGCTTCATTGATGAGAGTTGAGAGATACATTAGTATTCTCTTTACCCTTTGCTCCATTATGCTCTTTGAGTCTTGGGTGTAGAGGTTCCATTGTAGATGTGTCACTTAGGGTTCGGCATCTCAAACTTATTCTGTGTGTGTGACCAGTTGTGGAACTCTGTAATAGTCTCTATCTGTTGCAAAAGAAGCTTTTTTGATTAGTGGTGACTGATATACTTGTCTACAAATATAAAGGAACCATATTTTTAATATAGTAAGAAATTACATTTATCTATGGATGTGACAGGCTTAGAGTTTTCTCTAAGATCTGTGACCTCTCCAGTCATGTGTATTTGATTATGTTTACAGCACCACATGAGTTCCCTCCCATTGAGTAGGCTTTAATTCTAATTAGCTAACTGTTTATTTCCTCCAAGATAAAAGTGCCACTACTGCACCAATATCATTTGCTATGCTGGTCATTGTTGTGATTATCAGGCCTTCAAGCTGGGGTTGGCCCACTGATTGATGTTCTCCCTTACCAGCTTCCATAGTGTCCTCCAAAACTATGGGAGCTAGCCTTCAGGGAGGAGGCTTCCAGTTCAGGTCCAGCTCCAGCTCCATTGCTCCAAGTCCTCTGTCTGAAGTATGTTTTCATACATATGTTTTCAGAAATAGGGTCCTACATTGAAGTTCTGGGAGGCAATCAAGGGCTGTGGCAATAGTCTGTGTAATCTGGTAGTCTCTTCGACTACTGTAGCCAACAACTTGAAGGGAAGTTTTGTCTGTCTGGCACTGCTTCTTATATAGTCTTCAGCAAAAATATGGACTCATGAAGAGATATTGCATGTGTAATTTTTCAGTAGACTTTTGAACTCATACGTTTCAATCTGTTTTTTCACACCAGGTAGGCATTATTTATCTTCTCTGTCTCCCTGTCTAACCCTCCCTCCCCCCTCCCCGATTAAAGTACTGCCATTTCCCCCATTTCCCCTTGATAATACTTGTTTCTTATGATTCCCTTCTTGAGATCCTTCTTCCCTTTCACCCCCATGGTTCCTATATAACCTTCCCTCTTCCCTTCCCAGTTAAGTATCCCCACTTTATCCACTTCCCCCTTGGTAACACCTGTCTCCTACTATTCCTCTCTCTCAGGCTCCTTTCCCTTTATGTATATGGTTTCTTTCCATTTTTCTGGTTCCTGAAGTTACATCAGGGTATAAAGTCATATATAAGGATTTGGTGTTACGATCCACAAATGAGGGAGAACATATATTTGTTTTCTTACAATTCTTAAGATAAACCAAGAAATACTATTTTGAAATGTACTATTAGAGATTTAGTTGTTTAAAACAATAACTTTATGCTCACATTTATAATAAAATGAGTTTATAGGTTTATCTTTATCATCTGAATTGAAATCTTGTTTACACAAATGTCACAAAACTAGAATGATTAGTTTTGTGCATTGTTGTCTTTTTAGCATTTTAGAATGAGGAAACTTCAGCCACTGCTTCCATTTCCTTAATTTCACTTATTTGTTCTTTTTTTTTTCCTGTTTTTCAAAGTTGGCACTTTGTATTCTAGATGTATCCATTTAATCCAGATTCAATTGAACAAATGACTGGTTGGCAATACTCCAAAGGGTTGCAGCCCTCAGGGGTACTTTATTGATCACCTGGATGGATTCCATCAGGCCACAGTAACTGACATAAAATGTAATTCAATAGAAGAATTAGTTTTTCACTTACTCTATTCTCAGATGACAGAACCCATACAACAGTATTTCAGGGTCAGACTGTTAGATATTATAGAAAGCTACAGATGAAGAATCATGCGGCAAATCAGAAAACAAGTTGTGATTTGCCTATCTCTTAAATAAAAGTGAAAGAAGGAAACAACATTTGGATTATCAGAGGCAGAAAACGGCCCCAGCACTATGACACAGTTTGGGAAGAATGAGGTGAGGACAACATGAAGTCTAGTAGTGTCCTTAAGGACAAGGGTTAGGTCTGTTTTGTTTCTTTTGTCATGAGGACCAGGCACAAGTATCTGGACTAAGAGTTTAAATCAATGGATACAAAGATGAACTCTCCTCAGACACAAAGGAAATGGGTTTGAATATAGAAACATTTATTTGAAGAGCTCTATTTTTCTGTAAAAAAGGGTGAAGAGCATAGCAGAAACATGTTTACTAAGCAAGATTTGGATGAAATCAGCTTTGACTACATTCTTGCAACTATGACCTCATCCTGTCAAAGATGAAACAAGGAGTACCAGGGTTTCTGTTAGACCCTCAATGGCTCTCAAGCCACAGAGCAGGCTGCCTTCTGCCCAAGGCTCAGTCAGGCAGGTACCATAGGACCAGAGGTCAGTGAACCCACCAGCAAGCACAGTACCCAGGCCAGCACAGGCTGCGCATGCCCAGGTGCCACCCTGCACATGTGCACAGGGTTGGCTAGGCTGCCGTCAGCCCTAGCCTACACTACCTGGAAAATGGAGGCCTCTGAGGAGACGCCAGCACTGGCACCACCTCAGCCCTCAGAGCCTGAGGCAGAGTTCACTCCCGTTACTTGGGGAAACCAGTCAGGAGACGTGGACCCCTATGACTTGACCATCCTTCATTTCAAGGACGTGTACGACGTGGACCCGAGGCATGAGGAGCCCGTAGAAGGCCCTGCTAGGTGTGGGCCGCTATCTTCTCTCTCAGATCCCGGGTGGGAAGTGGAGGATGGTGATTTTGGGAACGGGCAAGAAGGGTTGGCAGCTGGCAGAGATTCTTTCATGCTAAACCTGTTGAGCTTTGTCTAAGCTCCCTGGTGGACCTAGGGTAGTAAATCCAGTGGTTTTAGGGAAAATCTGGAACTCGTAGCTGCACATGTCAAAGCGGGAATGAAAACTTTTTATTTAAATCTGAACTATGGGGAATCCCTTTGTTTAACTGAACCCTGTATTCAAGCTTAGAATTTCTACTAATGTTTTTATGATCTTGGTGAAAGACGTATCGTTGTTGCATCATTTTTAAAAGAGAGTTATTTTTTTCCCCTCAGGATTGAGATAATTTATGGAAAGCATCTATCACATTGTTTAACCTCTGGTAATCAACTAATACTAGTTTTAGCTTTCCTTCCCTTTTGCACTATGAAAATTTTCAGTTCTCACTGAGATCTGTAACTGTCAAGTGCCTACTTTTTTAAAAATAAGTTTTTTCTTACTCTTACCAAGATAAACTCACAACCCTGCACTGATCAACAAAGGAAGGAACTTAAGGATAGATAGGGTGTGAATAGGTGGGGATGGGAAATATTTCAAGGTTGAGGCTTTCTGAAACTAAGTTCTTATATATTTGATTTTTAAAAAATGTTTTGTGATTTCTTTTTTGGAAGTTTGGCTCCATGCATCTGATTGCTATTAATGATTCAAAGATGGAAAATTTTAGAAAATGTGGAAATACAATGGGTGCTAAGGCAGGACAGGGTGTACTAACATAAAGCAGTATTTGGATATAAAACTTGATGAGATAGAATATGCTGAATGCTTGTCTAGCAGTTATAGAATGATCATACATTTCTGTAGATGACCAAAAAGATGTTCATGACATGGCCCAAGAGCTGTTTGAGAAATGTGAAGGGTGGTTTTGAACAGAAGAGATTAAAAATCAGGAGAAATCAGTCAGAGGCCCTTTGTATGAGTATAGCTGTATAGCTATAAGTTAATGATGTAGATAAATAAGAATCAAAAAGAGCAACTGGATTTGGAAGACAGCAAAACAATATAAAAGACATGGTTGCTTGGTAGCGTGTAGGAGCATTTGTATGTATTTGTGCATACACAGAAAGAGGAGAATCAGAGGACAGCTAGAAGGAAAGAAGGGATCTACAAGTGTTTTGTTGCTTATTACTGGAGCTTCAAACTTAGTTCTGAAGGAATAGTTAAGTGTCAAGAATTGATGTTGGAAAGAAAATGTTGAGATGCTTGCTCCCCATGTAGGTAAAAGTGATTATCAAATACCTGGGTAAATAACTACCTTTCTCTTTCAATATTTTAATTTCCCCCAGCCCCTCCCCAAATTCTTTTGTACATGTATAGCTCTTCTATGTTTTGGGGGGAAAATCTTATTCTTTAGAGCTCACTTATTGTAGTACTGGTCATTTGCATGTGTGGGTGTGTACCAAGTATCTTTTCACAGGGGTAGGCTAGCTGCTTTTCATCATTGCATCGTTTCAGGGCCAAATAATATCAGCATGACATCACTGCAGATATTAACTTTTTTAAGTTTCTCTAGTCTGAAGTCATTCCCTCCCTCTTTTTGATGTTGTACTCTTTGGGATGAAGTGAATTTATGCAGCTCACACTTAAGGAATAGGGAGTTATACTTAACCTCCTTGGTAGCAAAGTAACTACATAAACTGTTTGGAGACTTTCTGAGTGGAAGATAACGTTTTTCCGTATTTATTCCTTTATCCATTTATATCAGTATTACATTAGTTTTCTAGGGTTAACAAGACAAAGTATTATAAAATGGGTGGCTGAAAGCAGAAGAAAAAAGCTTCTCTAAAATATCTGCAGACTGAAAGTCTTAAAGAATTGGTAGTTGGTTCTTTCTGGGCCCTCTCCTAGTTTCTGGTGAAGGCCAGGAATCCTTGATATCACTTGTAATGTATTACTCCAATTTCTGGTTCTGTCTTCATATGGCATTCTCTGTGTGTATTTCTGTGCCAAAATTACCCTTGTCTTATGTTTGTCATTTTCCAAATAAGGCCATGCTCATTGATAAAAGGGATAGAAAACATTCTCAATGAAGATGGGTTCATGGACATCACTGGTTTTTAATAGATTGACTCTCAATTTTTGTAGAAGACCAAGGACAAGCCATGGGTAGACTATTGAAGGTTTTTAAAATAATGTGTATCAGATGGCAGAATGGTAATTTTTTAATGGGTTGTATAGCTTGACAGCACCTAATAGTTTTACTGCAGGATTTCATCTTGTATATTTTCCAAACACACCATTGATATACATATTAGTCAATCATAGTAACAAAAATGTTAATGTCTTGGGTAGCCCTCAAGACATTATGGAACTCTGATGTCATTGAAATGTCAAGGCATTAAACTCAGAGTCTAGGTCAAGAGATACTACTGAACTGAATGCATTAAAGAAGTAGCTTTTCAAGAAACAATGTGAGTACCCATCTGATTTCTGGTGAAATGAAGCCCAAACTTATTGAGTGAATGTTCTATGTTTGGCACTTTTGGGACTATTTGCATTTATAATTGTTCTTCCTAGGAAAGAGATTGCTGAAAGGATTAATTTATATTTAGATTGGTGACAACTCTAGACCATTTTGACTCTGGTTATAAAATTATCAAGATGTTATAACTTCTGGCTCTAAGATATAATAATTTCTCTGTTCCTTAAATGTTGCTATGCTCTCAAGTTCAGTTGTTGACCTCTGTGTTCACATCTTTGTTTACTGATGCAGAGATCTACTCAATATTCATGTGGGTCAACAAATGTTCATTTATTAGAAATAGAGTGTCTGACATAAAGAGTTCAATAAAACATGTGATTATTGTTATAAACCATATAAAAACTGCCAAATACTATACTAGGCACTGTTCTAGGCAGTAAGGATATAGTAAGGAATAGAAAAACTGACAATGAAAGAGCAGGGAAGTAGGTACTATGCCAGATAATAATGGAGAAAATAATACAGAGAATAAGGAGAATAATACAAATAACATGGAGAATAGCAAGTGTGGATAGTTGAGGTTGGGGATGGTTGTTGTTTTAAATGATATTTAAATAACACCTTACTTGGATCTGTGAGATGCCTCAGCAGGTAAGCATGCTTACTGATAAGCCTGATGACCTGAGTTCAAACTCTAGAACCCCTGTGGTAAAAGAGAACCAACTCCCGAATGTTGTCCTTTGACCTCGGCATGTGCAGTGTGGCATAGGCAACCACCCCCATATACTCACATAAAAATAAATAAATAAAATACAATAAAAATATAGGGCCTCACTGATCAGGTGTTACTGGAGGAGACACGTGAGTGAAATGTGGTTGTGTGAGACATTTTACTATTTATAAGGAAATTGTTTCAGGCTGAAGAAGTTGCAAGAACAAAGATTCTGATGTGTAAATGTGCTTAGTGGGTTTCATGAACATCAAGAGGCACCACTACCTGGATTTGCAAGAGGGGATATTGGCAAAAGATGAGATCAGAGAGGCAGCAGGAATCAGATCACAGAAAGCTATATAGGCCATGCTGACAATTTTGACTTTTATCTTGAATGAGCTGGGAAACCACTTAAGTTTTGAGTAGAATTTTGACCTAGATTTTAAAAGCATCACCATGACTGCTATATAGAGAACAGATCTTAAGGTTTTCAACTATGAATAAAACTAGACACAATCTCAATGATCCCAGGCCTCATGGGACATATAGACTAAAATTAAGCAGACAAAAACAAATGTCATCAATAAGTAAATTTATGTGGCAAATGAAATATACTGACTAATCAGGTACTCTTTAGATGGACAGGACCAAAAGAATGTGTCCCTGGGGAGTGGTTAAGCTGAGGGTTAAAGAATGAATAGGAACAAATTAGACAAAATGTATACTTTGTGGTGATGCACATTTGTTTAGCTTTGAGATTTGAGCCATCACGTATCTTACAAATACCAATTGGCTCTTCTCAAACCTTAGAGATTTCCATGAGATCCTTTCAGTGATTCACATAGTCCCCATCAATTTCATTGTAGTTTTAATAGATGTTATTTCTTTTGTTAATTTTCATTATCTTATGAGTGTATAGAGTTTGATAAGTTAATTCATATGACTTGAGATGCCACACTGAAAACAATTTTATTAAGCTGTCTAACAAAGTTTTGGCATATGTGCTGGATAGCTTCAGTTGTCAGCTTGACACACTTGGGAAAAGGGAACCTCAATTGGGGAATTTCCTCTATTTGATTGACCTGTGGACATGTCTATGAGACATTTTCTTGATTGCTGAGGGATCTGGCAAGGCCTAGCCCACTGTTGGTGGTGCTATCCTCTGGGCAGGTGGTCTTGGGTTGGATAAGAAAGCAGGCTGAGCACAGGACAGGAGAGCAAGCCATTAAGCAGTGTTACTCCTTGGTCTCTGCTTCAATTTCTGTATCCAGGTCCTGCTTGTGCTCCTGCCCTGGTTTCCCTCCATGATGAACTGTAAGCTGTTAGCTGAAATAAAGTCTTTCCTCTCCAAGTTGGTTTTGGTTAGTGTTTTTGTCTCAGCCAAAGAAAGCCAATTAGGAGAGAATAGTAGCAAAGAAAAATGTTTAAAATTACATGGAAAGTGTATTGAATACTTTCCCAGAGTTACCTATATGTGTGAGACTAGAGTTTTAAAATTTACTTCAAATAAAGCAAGCTATTCTAATAGATTGCCTGAAGGAGGAGATAGTAAGATTCCACTAAGATTACTTATCTAGATAGGAGGTTTGCAGAAATCCACATTTGTGTATGAAAATATATTCTTTATAAAAATAAAAACTAGGTTTTCTCATTTAAATTAATTAATAGGACCACATATTAATTTCTCAGCTTTTGGGGGGGTGTCTCAAAAGGGAAATCTTGAGATATAAAAGTTTGAGAACCTTTCATCTAGATTGTAAACTTGACAAAATAACCAA